CCCTGGGCAGCAGGAAATACAGTTTCTCCCCCTTCTTCAACATCTGATCTGTGGTGCAGCAAGAGATATTAACCAGAGTAACTAACTAAATACGTAAATATAAACCTCACCTAGGGAAAGCCACTTACAAGTACATCAAAACCGTAGCAATGCGTTGACCACCATTTTGAGTATTAAACTCATCCGAAAAGTAATCATAGTGTGGCTCATACTTTTGACCCACTTCATAGTGGAGAATTTGAAGACCTTCACCATGCTCTATAGGCAGAAGCAGAAGCACCAATTACATGCAATTCAAGACAGTGCATATTGGCAAACATGTCAAATTGTTGGGTAGTTAAAGAGGAAAATTTAGTAAGTTTAGCTGTGTCAAGAAAAACAAATATGCCTGTCTGGTTGAACCATGTAGATGATATATGTCCCCTTTGAGATCCTTTTTTTTTCAAAAGAAAATCAGCCCTCAAATAAACACAAAATTTTATGGTCCGTATAGGGAAGAGGAGTAATTTGAAGCAGTTATTAACACCCAGATTATTTTGAAACAGGTACTTTGTATATATATGTTAGAATCCGAATGTTACATGAGTTGTAGTACCCAGATTTTGCATTGCAGGATTTGAAAAGTACTAGTTTAAGTTTGCACATGTAATTAGTTTCCAATTCATTTCCACCACTAATCATGCAATTGAACTGAATCTCAGATCGGGATAAAGCTTCTCCAGAGAAAATGCATACAACTTCAATAGCCATCAACAAAAGCAAAATCATTCATAGGCTGAACGAAACGACCCTTTCTGCAGAGGATCTCAACAAGAATATTCCCCTGGAAAATTACAGCTGAAGCAAACTGGAATTCCTAAGTAATAGCAGACGTTATATGTGATTCATAGTGAGACCAAATAACCAATTCCTACTCCATCACAAAAAGAGACAGGTGGTATCATTTTCTATATCAACATGTATGGAATTTTTTCAAGGTCTGTCTAAGATCGAGCATCATGCAAAATGCACACACCCAGAGTAATAGCAAATAACAGTGTAAATTCAAAGAATCACATATTTCGGTATAAAATCAGCATACCTACGGGTATAAAGGTGAAATCTGCAATCCTTTTCTCTATAGTCCTGACTACTTTATCTTGTCCCCTGGCAAGAAATGTTCCCGAACTTGTTCGAACCCTGCCAGGGAGGTTTATTAGTTAAAACAGTGACAATGGAAATGAACAAGCAAAAGAGATGCTTACCTGCTGTCTGTACTCTTGCCAGTAGCACTATCAACGACAGTTGACTTCTTCATATGAGGCTTTCCAAGATTAATCAGATATTCACATTCTTCCTTTGACTGCCCAAAAAACAGGAAGGAAGTTCAGAATAGCAACTTTTCAGAAACAGTTAATGCATTGGTCAACAGATCCAGTATTAGATATGCTCGAATGAGAACATTAGTAACAACTCCAAAGATACCAGAAAATGCATCAACCCACAAACCATTTTTTTTTTCTTAAAGGTATGCATTGTTAAAACTACTTTGATTCTATTTTATGGGGCACTATTTCCTTATTAGTTTGTTCCACGAAGAATGTCACCTTTCTATATTGAGAAACAACTTAATTTTAAACTTCTCATGCTTTTATAGCACAAAAATTTCATGACATATGTAAGACCACAAGTTCTAAAGTTTTTCTTTGTTTCTTAAATTCTATACCCAACCAAAACCGCTACATAAATTGAAATGAAGGGAGTAACGAACAACTTGTTGTGCTGACATCAAATTCTAAAGTTCTTCTTTGTTTCTTAAATTCTATACCCAACCAAAACGGTTACATAAATTGAAACGAAAGGAGTAACGAACAACACAAAGATTGTGTTGTGCTGACATCCCATCAAAAAGACCCTGACTATCAATGTAGTGAATCTGAAATTTTTAGCAGGGTTTCAACATCATTTACAATTTCCAGTCAACAACAAAAAGGAAACTAAAAAAAAAGAATCTGATTTGATCTTCAGACTAGAGATATATTTTCCAAAGCGTATTTATGTTTCTTTCTATAGAAACCACCATATGCAAGGTGATAATGCATCTTTTCTTCCCGTTTTTTGGGTAAAGGTAAGAGTTATTGTCAAACAATAAACAGCAAAACATTAGCCATCGAACCACCAGGTAAATGCTATGATGAGGACACTAGTATCAATATTGAATCAATATCGACACTAGTTTCCTCAATATTATTGATGATTGCTGAAAACCAAGTTATAGTGATCTACATGGTCTTGAATGGCAGAGAAGTGCATTTGGCTTCTCGCAGTGGCACAGTGCAAAAGCAAATTGCATAGTGATGCCAATGCTGATTTAAAGAAAGAAAAAGAACACAGGAATCAAGTGTTGCCATCGTTATGAAACTTTGATTTTTTTTCATTTCACTACATCAGATGAGCTATCTATATTGATTTGCAGCTTATCCAAATTAATAAGTAATGTGCCCTTCCCAAATTTGTGTAGTAAAAGAAATCCAAATGCAAGTATTTCTCATTTCCTACACATGACAGTCTTCCTGACCATCAAGAAAGAATATTACATTACCCTTATAGAAGTAGTATCCATGAATGAATATCATGTCAATAGAGTAATCTCAGTCGTGCAAACTTGGGGTGCACTGAGTAAATTAAGACTGCAGTCCTGATTTCGAATAATCAAACATGCATCTCAAAGCACATGAGCACTCCAAGGCCTGTAATATCACTTATGGATTTGGAAGAGCCCAGTAACTTTTGCTTAATTCATTGAATTTGTACAAAATATTTAATTGCGAACCCATTAAATAAGACGAGCTATTGGTTTGGTAGCAGTTAAAAACCTGTAAACTTCAAATCCTGGTTCCACCTCTATGGGCACCTCCACCAGGTAAAATAGTTACAAAATACCGTCAAGACTAACTCTTAAGGAGGACAGTGCTCATTTCTTCCTGAACTGCTATCCATCCACAATGCATTGAAATAAACCAAGAAAAAAAAAGTAGCAAGAGACGACAACTCCTGGTTACCATGAAATCACTTCAGCCCATTGAAATAAACAAAAAAAAGTACCAAGCTTTGATCTTTTCTCGATTCACTGTGTCAGATGAGCTATCTACATTGATATGTATCTTATCAATAGAGTAATTTCAGTCGTGTGAACTTGAAGAGCATCAAGTAAATTATATGTCCATCATGAGTTCACATGGGCACCTCCACCAGGTAAATAGTTGTTAAATCCCGTCACGATCAACTCTAAAAGATGATACTATCCATCTATTCCTATACTGTTATTCATGCAAAATGTATTGAAAAAAAAAAAAAAAAAACTTAATGGAAGTACCAAGAAATTATGGTAGACGACAGCTCTTGGTTCCCATGAAATCAATTCAGCCCACTCATCTCCTCTTCCACCATCATCATCTCGTCTTCAGCAAACAAAAAAACCCATAAATACTATCAGATCCCTATCCAATTCTGAAAATGAAAAAAGTAACCAGCAATCCAGAGCAGCTGTAGCCTTTTGATTAAGGGTTTATTTGCTAAAATCTCAACAAATGTTAGATTTAAGCTCATAATTTTTAACATTACAACGAATACAATGCTAAAAATCTTTAAAATTGAACCTATTAAATTAAAATTCTGGATCCGTCTCTGCAACAATTAACCAAACAATACAATGAAAATTACCTTCCAGCTGCATTGTGAGCAATTGAGCTAAGATCATGTACTTTTCGCGATCCTCTAGAAGTGAAAGGAATCGAGAAAATTCCAAAAGCGAGAAGAATCAGCACGAAAAATGAAAACCCAATAAACACGGCAAAAAGCAGCGTAGAATTAGACGATTTCCGAGATAAACCTCGGAAATGCCTCCCTTTGACTGCCATTGTTGCTGAAAATTAAGCTCTGAAAATTCGAATTGGGAATTTGTTAACCCTGAAATTGATTTGGATACAAATCCTTCCGGTGGAATTTTTTTTTAGTTACAGTAAAGTCTTCAAGTCACTAATACGTGTTGTCTTAAACACGGAATTTAAGAAAAAAAATAAGAAGTTTAAATCGTGTTGTCTTGAACTAATTTTTTTTTTTTTTTTAAAATTGTCAAATTTTACTTTGAAATAAAATAATCATTGAAATAGTGAGTTAACTCCTACTAATTAATAGAATTGAGGGTATAATAGGAGGAAAAATCTTGACGTATCTTGATTTATCAAAAATGATAAGTAAAAAGAATAATTAAATTAGAAAATATTTGACAAGTAAATAAGGACGGAGAGAATATACATGTGCATCAAAATATCATTAATCTATGTGATTTTAAACATGACACATGAGTTATAAAATTAAAATTAAAGAATTGTCTAAAATATAGGAGTGATAAACATTACTTAAAAAATGAGATATATATATATATATATATATATTGGTAGTCGTTATCATAATTCACTAATATGATTACTAAACGTATCCGCACCGGGTGTTTACATCAAATTAATGCAATTTCTATTATTACGTGATTTAATGAAGTAAAACACATGTTAATTAATTAAGATTAAGTAAAATGAATTGTAAACTTAAACACATGGTCTGCATATATTAGATTGGTGTATACATTCGATGCGGATAAGTTTTACCATATTTTTGTACGTTTATTTTTATAATTTGTTGTTACTATCATCTTTCTTTCCACTACTTTTTTTAATTATATTTTACCTGAGCATAGAATCTATCGAAAATAATCTTACAACTTTCACAAGGTATTTCACAAGGTAGGAATAGAATATGAGTACACACCACTCTTTCGAGTAACACATACGGGATTAAGTTAAGTTTATTATTATTGTCAATGCATTACAATATTTTCTCTAATAATTCGACACACTTTAATTTAACCAAGACAAGTGGATTATAATTTGGGTTAAAAAATACTAGTAGTAATTTTCTTTTTAAAAAAAAACAGAAATTAATGTTTGTTAATCTAAAATTGCATTGCCTTGTTCATAAACCCTTTTCCCCCTTTTCAGAAACGGGTTCACATATATACATCTCGCCATTTTCGGCGATTTAGGGTTTGCTCGTCTCTGCAGAAAATGGCAAGTTCTCTCTTTTTCTCTCTCTCTCCATGTGTGTTTTTCATTAATAATTAAGTCTGAATTTTGCTATGGATGTGATTTTCTGCAGGCTGATTCACCTGTAAAAAGGTACGAATCCGTTTCTTTCACTTGTTTTTTTGCATTTGATACCTTGCTTACTGTTGATTTCTCTTTACCTGCACTTGTTATTTGTACATAGGAGTATTGATCTGTTTCTCATAGTTGGATGTTTTATTTTGGTTGATTTTTTCATGTGAAAAGTGGAAAATTGGTTCTTTTAAGCACCAAGGGTGTGGTCGGGTGGTTAATGAAGTGAGTTTAATGTTTGAATCTCAGTGGAGATGAAGAACATTGGATGATTTCTTCTTGTATGCGGGTAGGATGAGATGTAGTAACTTTTTCATGTGAAAAGTGAAAAATTGGTTCTTTTAAGCACCCAAGGTGTGGTTGAGTGGCTAATGAAGTGAGTTTAATGCTTGAATCTCAGCGAAGATGAAGAACGTTAGGCGATATCTTCCTGTATGTAGGTGAGATGAGAGATAGTAGGTATTCCATGAAATTAGTTGAGGTGCCTGGCCAAACACCATTTTTAATTAAAATAAAAGTGAGAGTGATTCTATTAATTGTTACATTTGGTGATTTCTTCCTGTATGTGGGTGAGAGATTGTAGGTATTCCATGAAATTAGTTGAGGTGCCTTTCCAAACACCATATTTTTATTTAAAAAAAAGTTAAAGTGGTTCTATTAATTGTTACATTAGGTGATTTCATCATTTCCGTACAAGTCTTGGTGGATAGAGTTAGTTGGTAATTGTATTGGTGGGAGATTGTAGGTATTTTGTGAAAGAGTTAGCTGGTAATTGTGCTGGTGAGAGATAGTAGGTATTTTATGAAATCAGTTGAGGTGCGCGCAAAATGGTCCTATTAATTGTTTTCTCATTGCTTGATCTGGGGTTATTGATTTTTATATATTATATTTTTGTTAATGTTTACTGTATTTGATGCTTCTTATCTTTATTAAAGTTATTTTTTTACCTTTACAGTTTACAAAAGAACTACTCAAAGTTACTTTCAACTTTGAATTTTTATTCTCTAAATTGGATGACTTGGTTAATGGAGAATTGGTATGGTTTTCTTTCTTTGAAAAGGAAAGGACACTGTATTTGAAATGAAAAAGGGATTTGGTTAATTGTTAATGAGTATGTTATTGCTCATGAGGGAAGTAGATCTGCTTGGTTATTGAATATAGATGAGATATATACAGGATTGAAACAGTTTGAATGCGCTTGGGCAATAATTTTTTTTTCTCAAAGAAATGGTCATCCTAGGGAGATACGTTGCTTTCATTTGACATGGAGAAAACAGTTGTGTGGCTTGGTTTTAGCTTCCCGGCAGCTTAAAACCTTCTGATTTTGCTCTTTCTGTAATAAGTAACCAGCCTTCCTAGAGGTACTATGAAGATGTCATTGACATTCTCGGTAACCAAGCCTTTCCTAATTGGTGCCTTAGTTCTAGATGGTTTACCAGCTCAATGTTTTCCACATATTATGTTTGATCCATCAGTTATTGGACTAGAAAACCCTAGTTTTGGCCATCTTGGAATTTGATTCTTGGATTTACCTGTCAGAAAGGAAGCTCATGAATGATGAACCATGATTGATTGTCAATGAAGTTTTGGTTATATAGATGATTAAAATATAGGGTTATATTTCCTTGTGGATTGGGAATCAGTGACTGTGTGACTGTTATCATAGACAAAACGCATGCAGGTGCTATTGAAGTGCGGGTAGTATAGTCAATTTAAAACCAAAAGCTGAGCAAGATAATTTTAGTGAATAAAAAACTACAGACATGAATTTGTTGGGGTCAACTATATGTTTTTTCTGCTCTGCATCCATTTTGCTTCATCAAAGTCCTTCAGTATTTAAAGGAGTCATAATAGTTAGACTATTTTTACACTGCCTCTCAGCCTACTGTAGTCCTCCTTTATACGGGCTTTGAACCACTGTGATAATGTGGTCTGTTAGAAAGATTCAGGTAAATGTAGAACATAAAAAACATTGAAGGCAAAAGTTTTGACTTAGTGGTTAGATTTTTATTGATTGGATATCGTTATTGGCTGGTAGCCAGTTTTGGAGTTATCTCACATGTCCGTGTTTTTTGGTTGGATGCATATCCTGTTTAGTTTATGGTGCTGGTAGAAAAAAATTACTTTGGTGTCGCCTCCCTAAGTGAAAGAAGAGTATGCGGTTAAATCTCAATGAACTAATCTATTAGTTTTTACTGAAAATAACTGGTTTCATTGATTACTTGTGAAAGCACTGGTATCATTGATTGGTAGAGGTTGTTCACTAAGATACAATTCAAGCTCTAGCTTTTCAGTTTTTGGTCAGTCATTCTAAACTTAATTGCATGGCTGCTCATCAAAAAAAAAAACTTAATTGCATGGCTGACCCTAACTTGTTTGAGATTGAGGTATAGTTGTTTTTAAACTTATTGTAGTAGCATATCATTTTTGAAAAAGCATTTATTCCATCACACATTGCATCGATTGTTTTTCTCCTGTTAAGTGAGTTCTCTAATATTAATTTACTACCGAGCTTTTCTGTTGTTGCATCATTTTCAAAAGATTATTTCTTCTGGTTTACATTTGTATGTAAGATGTGGTTTTTTATATTATTGTTATTCAACTGGGTTGGTGTTACTTCCTGCACTTTCCAGGTATTCACGCTCTCCTTCTCCTTGGGAAGAAGAAAAGGTAAGATCTAGATCTAGGTCAAGGTCTAGATCCCAGTCTAGGTCATGGTCGAGGCCAAGAGGAAGATCTAGGTCCAGATCAAGGTCAAGAAGTCAAGGAAGGTTTGTTGGAACTTAAGTTTTTTTTTTGTCAGTGTCTTTCTTCTTGTAGTGCTGTTTAGTATCCCATGTGTTGTCTTTTTTTGTGTTAAGAGCTTGTTTTAAGTTGCTAAAATTTATTCATCCACGGTTTATTCAGGGCCGAACCTGTTAATCCTGGCGCCACACTTTATGTAACTGGTTTATCCACAAGGGTGACACAGAGGGACCTTGAGGAGCATTTCTCAAAGGAAGGAAAGGTTGGTAATCTACTTCATTTTACAAGCGTATTAGTTTCTTATTCATCCTTGTTCTATTTGCATTCTCCTCTTTGCTCACAAGCAAGGTTTATTTTGCATAATCATGTGTAACCGTATACTCTCTTGGTAAAAAGTTCTTTATTTTCCATTTTTTTGTTTCTTTCCAAGTTGATTATGAGTAGTATCTTCTCAACATGTACACCAATGACTTCTGGTGTGGTAGCATTTTTGGCTGGATTTGCTTTCCTTTGTCCACCCTCCAAACTTATGAACTTGCTCTGATTTTTTTCTTTTACTTTATGTCTGCCAGGTAAAATCAGCTTTCTTGGTTGTGGAGCCCCGTTCTCGTATCTCTCGTGGTTTTGCTTTTATAACAATGGATAGTCTTGAGGATGCCGATCGCTGCATTAAGCACCTAAATCAGTCTGTCCTTGAAGGCCGCTACATAACAGTGGAGAAGGTGAGCTGCTTTGTATTAAGTTAAGTGAAGCATGTCCGTTTTGATTGCGCTTCTATCTTCTTGTGACTTGGAGATTTTGTGGTTATATTCAGAAGACATTGCGTCAGCTTTGTCGGCAGCGATAAAAGATGATCTGTTCTTCCCTGCAACATTATATTCACTCAGCTTGACCAATGGCTTGCTAAAACAGCATTTCACATGCATCTGATCAACTAGACATAGCAACTAGATTGTCCAACATCTATACAACCTCAGCAAATACTCTCAACTAATCTACGGTCATTATCAACAATCTAATCCAGCATTGGTCTCTATCTCCCACGACTTTTTGCTTGGATGGAACATGCCAAATATCTAAGCTGCTTTACTGTACGACTAACATGATCTTATACTTATTTATAAAAGAACGTAGTTATCTGCTTTGTCAACTTCCTAACCAAGCATGTAAGGGGGAAGGTAAGCAACTTTGTTTTCTTTGCTAGGTTAGAGAAGTATTATGTCCATGCTTACTTCAAGAAAGAAGTATATTGTTTAGTCTAGATATCCCATTGTCATGTAAATGTGCACCTGTTTAGACTTCACGTTAAGGAAACCGTATGTCTACTTTTCAGTCACGGAGGAAACGCGCGAGGACTCCAACGCCTGGTCACTATCTAGGGCTTAAGAACGCAAGGGGCGATGGTGAGTCCTTTCTCATTTCTCTTAGTTTTTGTAATTTTGGGCAAAATTTTTGTAGTCTTGAACATTTGTTTTTCTTTGGTCACAGGTTTCCGTGGCGACCGTGGTGGCGACCGTGGTGGTGATCGTGGTGACCGTGGTAGGTATCGTGGACGTGAGGACTATGGGCGCCGTGAGGACTATGGGCACCGAAGATCTCCTCCAAGGCGTTCGCCTTATCGAGGTGGTCGAGATTTTTCTCCTAGGCGCTCGCCTTATGGGGGAAGGTCAAGAAGGGAACGATCCAGGTCATATTCTCCTTATGAAAGGAACTATGCTCGTGGGGGTAGATAGGATGAAATCTAGTAGCCCTACTTATGGGTAAAAACTGTTTGTTAAGGATCTTTATGAGTTTGGTTGGACTAGATTTAGGTATAACGTACCAATTAATGAATGTATGTGTGCTCGTGCGCCTGATATGCTTGTGCGTAGCTGACTTTGGAAATTATATTGCTTGTATGTCAAGTACTATGTGTGTTTTGAAATGCCATATTCTAGGTTGAACGCCAAGGCCAGGAGTTATCTTTCTTACTCGTGATATCGTGATATGCTTCCATGTTGGATGAAAGCCCTAGATCTAAAGTTGGTTTATGAAGTTAATATGTTGTGCTTGCATTTCTGTTGCGCTGAGTCGTTAACCGGGTAGAAATGCTCTCTTTTGTGCCTTTGGGTGTAAGAGGCTTTTCAATTTCTTCCTGCTGATCCTTGCACTATTGAAGATTGGTAATTTCAAGTTTTCAACAGTTTGCTATCTTTGATTTTTTCAAGATTAGTTGAATGATTGGTTCCCATGCCTCTCTTTTAATACTTAGTTTAGAATCTGGTTTAAGGATAAAATGAATTATGTTCCCATCTCTCTATAATAGAGGCAAATTTAGTGTCTATGGTTCAATTTTGGACTTTGTTACATTTAGCTCAAATTATGTATACATAAGAAAAAAAGATTTCCAATGTATCCCTATAATAAGATTGCACTCTTTATGATTATGTTTTCAAGTTCTCTCTAAAGTTCAACAATATATATAGTACAATCTTACAAGTCAGGTTGCGAACAAATTTTGTTTCTACTTTTGTGTTTAGGAGAGGTTGAATTTGGTTGACTCTTGACTCAAAAGAAATGCATTTGACGGTGGATTGTAATTAAGTAGCACTATACACAATAAATGCAATAATAGATAGTAGTACACATCAAAATGAATATTTCTTTATGAATCTCACCAATTACTTGTTCAAATTCTATAAATTGACTTTTGAGACTCGAACTAAAGCAATTTTTTTTGAGCGACATTCAAAACATGTAGAATATCTTCACTCTCAATAACTGCTTACAAATCTATATAAAACATAATATTCACGACTTGTACGTTTGGAATGAACCAAATCTTCGTTAAATTTGGTTCTTCCATTAGATGGTTCATCAACTATAGATTCTGAATTCACCTATTTTAATGACTGGTTCCATGACGTCGACAAAAAGAAGGGATTTTAGGTGTCCTATTAAATCTAGGTGGATCTCTCTCTCCATCACCCCATAAAGCATAAGCTTCTTCACCATGAACAGCATCATCACCAATCTCAAGATCATCTTCATGTAATCTCAACTCAACAATTTTACTTATAAAAATACATATCAAACTAGTAGCCACAACATTCCATATTGTAATAAACACAGCACCAACAAGCTGATAAGCCATTTGTCTAAGTCCTCTTTTGATGTCTCCATCAATTATGCTGTATAAAAAACCAGGACCATACTTGTCTGAACCATAAAACATCCTTAAAAGTTTAGGTTTAGCAAATATACCGGAGAGGATTCCTCCTAGTAAACCTGCTACAGCATGTGTGTGAAAGACACCTAATGTGTCATCAACTTTTTGAAAAAATGATGATTTTTTGTGAAGAACCATCATTGTGAACCATGGTATTGAGCCTGATGAAATTCCCATGAGTATTGCTGCCCATGACTCTACTATACCTGCCAATGAGCATGGTGTTATGGACATTTGGTTCAATTGATTACTCCTTCCGTTTCAATTTATGTGACATCACTTGACTAAACACAGAGTTTAAGAAAGAAAGAAAACAAAGATTCTATTCAAATGCCATGTATTATGTATCGGGAAAACAGACTAGAGAATCTTCTTCTTTAGAATCGAGACAGTTTGAACCCTAAGTAGTATTGACATTGAGAGCCATTAAAAGTCTGGAGATCAAGTCATTTGACTTGGGAGTCCCATCTAACTTCAAATAAGGTAAGATAAGGTAGGAAAGCTACGAATCGACTTTTGAAATATGTGGTCCAAAAACAAGGTCTTAAATATTTGTGTGTTTTATAAATCATCTCATTAAGGGTTAAAAGGAAAAATTCTAAAGTTAAATCATCTCTTACACCCTCCATTCCATATTAATTGTCCACTTTCCTAGTTACACGCCCCTTAAAAAATCATATATAAGAAGAACAATTTTACTAATTTACCCCTTTTGAAACTTTAAAAACTTGTTTACACGCAAATATCTAGGTTTGTTTTAGATCACAAGTTTCAAAAGTCCAAAAATCATTTATTTGACTTAAAGAGTCCCATCCAACTTTAAATAAGGTAAGAGAAGGTAGGAAAGCTACAAAATCGACTTTTGAAATATGTGGTCCAAAAACAATGTCTTAAATATTTGTGTATTTTGTAAATCATCTCATTAAGGGTTAAAAGGAAATATTCTAAAGTTAAATTATTTCTTACTCCCTCCATTCCATATTAGTTGTCCACTTTCCCAGTTACACGCCCCTTAAGAAATCATATATAAGAAGAATAATTTTACTAACTTACCCCTTTTGGAACTTTAAAAACTAAACTTGTTTACATGCAATTATCTTAAGTCTGTTTTATACCACAAGTTTCAAATGTCTTTTTTTTCTTCTTTAATCTGATGTCAAGTCAAACGGTGCCACATAGATTAAGAGGCTCGAAAGAGTAATTTAGAACCCAATAACTTATAAAGGACTAGAATCCAAAATTCATAAAAACTTTAAATTCTGAATCTGCCTCGGGACTAACCTGCACCAGGGGTGATACAAACAAGGCCAGTTATCATTCCTTGTACAGCTCCAATAACAGAACTTTTGTTGTAGAAAATCATGTCCATAGAAAGCCAGACCAACAAGCTAGTGGCTGTGCAAATATGTGTATTGAGTATTGCTAATGATGTAATTAAATTAGAGGCTAATGGAGATCCACCATTAAATCCAGTCCATCCCATCCATAGAAAACCAGCACCTCCAAGCATGTGAATTATGTTGTTTGGTGGGAAATGTTGTCTATCATGTGAATGCCTTGGTCCAACCTAACAATCAATTAATAAGTGAGGGACTGTTTATCGAAACTGTTATAGTCTGAGTACTCAAAAAAGGGTTCTAAGAAATGTGGATTTTGGGACCCAAGGCACATTTTTTTTTTATTTAGGGCGGAAAATCATATTCATACCACCATAACAACATTTACAACAATAACATATTCAGTTAAGTCCATAAGTAGAATTTGGGAAGAATGAGTAGAGCTAGAAAGACTTATTTGGATACATCCTCGGGTCAAGGGAAAAAAAAGTGTAGAAAATGTCTAGTAGAAAATTATCCAACATATTCAATGTGATTTACTTAAGTGGGGTCTAAAGAAGGTATACTGTAAGCAAACCTTATACTTAGCTACCTCCTAGAAATAGAGACTGAAAAACTCTCAACTCAAGTAACGCATATCAAACCAGTTAAAAAGGAAAAAAAAATACATAGGATAATTTTTTTTTTACCCAATAAGCAGCAGTAAATCCAGCAACTCCAGATGAAAGATGTATGACATAACCACCAGAAAAATCAATAATGGGCTGCAGAAATCCAGAGCCCCATATACTATAAGCTCCAAATGTATATGAAAATGTAACCCAAAGTGGTACAAATATCATCCAAGCATAAAAATTCATTCTACCAAGTAATGAACCACCTAATAATATAACAGTAATTGCAGCAAATGCAAATTGATAAAATACATAATCTGCTGTTGGAATATTATAATGTGAATATTTACTTAATAAATAATTTTGTGCCATAGCTTGTTCTGGTTTACCAATTATTGGCATTAAATGTGTACCAAATGCCATTCTATGGGCCCATAAAACCCAACAAATTAAAACTGATGCAAATGCATATAGGCCCATAAAAGCTGAATTAACAGCCCATTTCTTTTTTACCATTGATCCATATAAAATTACAAGCCCAGGTACACTTTGAAGGCCCACCATTGTGGCTGCTATTAATTCCCATGTATTATCACCTTTACTTAACCATTCTGGTGATGATTCATCTGGTTGGATACCTTGTGGGAGGACTGAATATTTTGGGTCCATTTAGAAAAAAAAAAAAATGGGGGGGGGGGGGGGGGGGGAAAAAGGTTGCG